TATCGCCAACAGCATATGCAGGAATAACTTCAGTGAAGAATCCTGCACTGACACCTGTCGGATATAATCCAACGCCCTTCGTGGTATTAGCCAGGGGAGTAGTTGTTTTCTGATAGGTGTCAATCCATTAACCTACAGTGTAGGGAGTTGATTTTGATTTTACATATTTTTTCAAAGTGAGATTTTGGCTTGAAAGCCGTGGACCATCACCCACACCGCCCACTCCTTACGCCGCCTCTGGACTGGTACCACTGAAATCATTTCATAGCATAATCGGTTGCATATAACCTATTTTATTTTGTACAAACTACGTATCATAAGTGGTCCATCCTAATTGTTAGAATTTTTCTTTGAAGTCCGTTTACAGTTAGAGAAAATGTAGTTATTTTTTCATTTTTATCTTATGGAAAACATTTTTGGTTCACATTTGAATATCTTTTATGATGGAAAGATGATGCTTACATTTCTGACATGAGATATAAGAACGTTAGACTTTTTTTATTCAGAATAAATTTTTGTTTTCAGTTGAATTTGAAATTCCTTGCTGAAGGTAAAAAGAGGTCTATGTTTTATACATCAAATTTAACGGATGCTCTGAAACTTGTGGAATACTGGGAAAACCTACTTGCTACAGATATCAAAAAAGTGAGAGATATGAAAGAGTGAGTATAAATAATATTGATGTTTACTTAAAAATTAATAATTCTCATGCAACTGAGAAATGCCGCATGTATGGTTACATAAGTTAATATTTCACTCAGTAATTTCCCATGGAAATTACAATTTAGATCACTCAATAAACTCCGAAAAGTATTTTCCAGCAGCAGAAAAAGGTTATCAGATTCCTGGCAAATGTGGGTTTTAAGGAACATTGTTGTCTTCTATTCATTTAATGAAAAATACGTTTTTTTATTCTTGAAACTCGTCCAATTTTAAACATGTAAAATATGTTTGAAACTTTTTTGTAGAAAATACATGGTGTCAAATAATTCTCAACAGATATCATTACTATAAAGTTTAACCACAAACTCACATAAGCTGTATCAATTCTTGGAGTTAAAAAAAATTAAATAAAAAAATTGTTGTAGTATCTACCAATA